TATTATATATATATATAATATATATATATATATATATTATAAGATATATAATTATATTATTTTTTTATTTTTTTAATACTTAATATTAATATATTCTTCACATGGAAATCAAAGATATGATTTTAATCATCTTCACATTTATCATTTTTCACAATACATTTTAATACCGAACTCAGCGAATTCTTGTATTAATTAGCTATGTTCATATCATTGACGATTACAATTTTATTACCAGAATTTTTCGCATTGAATATATGATGTTATAAACTTATCATGACTATAAAATTTATATGAATTATATTTATATTTCATGTTTATTTTACATACATTTTACATACATTTATTTTACATATTTTTTACATACTTTTTATATTTATTTATAGGTATATTTTTGTACAATTTACATCCAATTTTGTTCATTCGTTGGCCTTTAACTTCTCTCCAATTTACTTCATTAATTTTTTTTTTTTATTTTTATTTAGAAAGATCACTAGTTGTATGCAATGAAATGTTTTATGTTTTTTTTTTTACATGTATAGGATCATCCCCTGATTTGATAAACAGACCAGAAATCGTGGATAATATGGTTAAAACTCTGCAATCTAAAGTGGCACAAACTTCGGAGAAAGTAGCAGCATTGCAAGAATTTCAACTATATGTCCGTGAAGGCGATTCATCATATATTAAACGAAACTTCAAGTATGTTTTAATAGAAATAACTTGTATGCATCTCACATAGCAATTTAATCCTAATAATTATAATTCTGTTCTGGTGTTTCAGAAAAGTGCTCAAAGTCCTGTTAGATAGCTTGTCCAATGATGCTAAAGTGGTACAAGTAGAAGTGTTGCAAACGCTAATCGATATGCTTAAATGTCCCGAATTAGTAGAAAGCTTTTCCTCTTACAATGAGCTATTGGTATTAAAAGTTATCTATGCCTACAAATCAGATGATCAAAAAGTCGATTCTTCCGGCGGTAGCGGTGGCAGATCTCCAGTGAGTACTAATATTCAATTTTTTTTTATCTTTATTAAGAATCAGGACTGGATTATATTTATCGTTCGTAACAGGTCCATTGGAACGCGGAGAAATGCGCAGCGACGATGGCCATGGTTCTAAAACCGGAACAAATTATTCATTTGGTTTCTACTATAATTGCTACAGAATCGTATCCACTAAATATGGGCGCGATAAAAATGTTACACAAGGTGGTGGAGCACTGGGGTCGAGATGCTATCGAACCTCACCTCGCCAACGTTATGCCGGGCCTTATCAAGGTGAGAGAATTTAGTAGAAATGTGGAAATTTTATTAATTATAATTAGATAATCGTAGATAACATACCTTTTTATATCATAGGCTTATGACGATGCCGAAAGCGCAGTTCGCAAAAGTGCGGTTTTCTGTATGGTAGCGATCCATGTTGCGGTCGGCGAAGAAGTACTGAAGCCACATCTGAGCTGTCTGTATTCCAGCAAACTTAAGCTCTTGAACATCTACATACAGCGTGCACAGCAACAGGCAAACAGTCAACCTGCAAGTCCGCGTAGTAATAACAAGAATTAACTAACATCCAATACCACGACTCTCAGGGTCGCGATACTTAAGAGATTCGCCCGCTTCGGCGCGCGGCATGAGCGAGTGCTTGTTAGCTTCCTCAGTAAGTCCGATCCGTGATGATGGTCGATGACGATGACGATTTTAACAATATGACACGGAAGTTTTTGATACGATAGAGACTGATGTGTGTATGTATGTGTGTGTGCGCGCGCGTCACTTCGCAACGGCATGCGTGCGATCGCTGTCCGATACGACAGTGATGTTGTATACTGAATCAGCGCGACGATATTCGTTCCGGTATTACGTTTATCGAAATATTTGCTTATAGAAGATTAAGTGCGTCTTGTACATGTTAATTCTTATAAGCGAGTGAAGATTACGAAGAAAATTCCTAATGTATTATTCACTTAATTTTTTTCGTCTTTTTTTTTGAGTACGAAATAATTATTTCTACAAGATTAATTGTAAAGTAAGAATGTGTAAGTAGGAAGTGCGTAAGCGAGCATCACATTGTAATTTTAGTTGGCAAATGCATTTTCACACAATATTTTGTGGTACGCTCGTAATATTTATTTCATAAAAAAGTTCTTCGTGAAATTTATGCAAAATTATGTGTCCATTTGTGCGAAATGAACGATTTTTCAATTTGTTCACTTCTACTATAATTGTCTTTTTTTATTTCCTACTTATTATCGATACTGTACATATGATCTATGTGAGCTATGCCGTGTTTTATAGTGGGAAGTTACAGTATTCAGAAAGTATAATATTTTCGTTGATACGTACATGGCCAAGATTTTATTTTCATTTTTACAAGTAGCGGAACTTTTTTTTTCCTCACAAGATTGTAATCCTTTTATCGCTGTGAGAGACTTGTAATTCAATGAGGCGAGAGAACACACGTTGCAACATCACTGTCTACGGATGATAATTTCAACATTTTTCGTAATGCGCAGTTGAATACTAATTATGCGGATTAATCAGCAGACGTTAAATATCGCTTGTTTGCAATTAATACCGAATCTATAATTTAGCACCGAACGTAATCGTGTGTGCTACGTTACATCGTAATACACGGCAACGACACGTGAAAAGGAAAGTGCAAAGGAAAGTGTATTCGTTTGAAATCTATGTGCTAGTCAGATTCCCAAGGACGCACAATGACGTAAAAGACAAAGTCGGAATAGTCGAGTCTTTTTTGACAAACCATGCATAGGACACACAAATAATACATATAAACAAGAAAGAATAAATGTGAAGCGAGAGAGAGAGAGAGAAGAAAAAACGAATTTAATGTGAGAGAATGAGAGAGATTTGTGTGACTGAGAGATTAGCGCGTGTTTAAGAAGCAAGCATAAATAAAGTAGCAGTGATTAGTAAATTGATCTGCTCGAGACTAACGTTAACACTTAAACTATTCATCACGTTGCCAATAATTGAATGAACGCTAAATCAAATGCTAACATAACGAGTTTAGTAACACTTTGTGCCATTGTCGTTTCTGTTTACTGTATAAGAAAAAAAAATTATATATTATATATTGTACATCGTAGATCATCTTCCTTTTGTCCTTTTCTTACTACATACATTTAGTCGAGATACAATATATAAGGATAATAAAATCTAATTTTATTATGTATTTGTCAAGGCGGTTCATTGAAGTATTACGAGATATCGAGAAAAAAAAGTTGTTTTTGCAAACGTTGTTCAACGTGCAAATATACGCGAATACATCGGACACGTGAACAGACAGAGAAACGTGAGTCCACTTTCGATAAACGTGAATGTCTAATAATACCTCTATAATTTACTTTAGCGTGATGACACAGTAATTTACGTCTCGAACACAATAATTGGCCAAATAGTGCCAAAGGAAAGGTGTAATACCGAATAATTAGAGTGAGAACTAATTCGATGTAAAAGAAAAACACGAGACATTGTATTTCTTTTACTTGGTGCCTTCGGCGTTGACGCGACGGGATTTGATTGAAGATTGTCTTTTAGCATCACTTAGAATTCCGCGGGTAGCACAGTCAAAGGAATAATAAAAATGGAAGATACGTAAGGTCTTTAACTGTTGCCGACGTCGTATAAATGAACATTATGAACGCGATAAAGAAAAGAAAAAGGAACAAAAAGAAAAGAATAAAGAGATCTTATCGATTATTCTCTAGTAGCATAGCGAAATTCTAAATGGACTCGATATTTTTCCCATTCTGCGCTCCATAGAAATCTCGAAAGTACATTTCACGAATAGATATTTATTCCACGCGTGTATTACTCTACGCTTATGCGACACTTCGTTCGAAAGCTGAATTGTCAAATTATTGTCGAGATAAATAACAATCTTTAGTAGCTCCATGGTAGAGACGGATCCTCGGTCGCGCATTTGAATAAAGAATCAATATTCCGCGCGGCGTTTCGATTGAAAGATTAATTGCGCCTTTAAATCCGCTGGAGAACCAAATGTGCCATTGAGCCATCAGTCTGCCTTTGCAGACTTTTCGAGCATGCAAAATTAAAAGAGGGGGCTCGACGCGAGAATCGCATAAATCGTTCATTCGCGCAAATTTAAAGATGATGAGAATTTGAAACGTTATACATTTTGCGAATCTTCGTGGACTTGCTCTCTTCTCTTGTGCCGAACGCTTTCGATGTCCAGCACCTTGACGACCCATTTGGTTTCACGCCGATTTAGGGCATGGCCTGTGCATGACGTGTGCTGATTGTGTACATATATACATATATACAATATGATACATAATTATACGTAGAACCTATAATTATATTATATATGTAATATATATATACGATGCATAATGTAGTGTTTATATAATACATGATAATATAATTATATAATTATATAATTAATAATTGATATACAGATTAGATAGCTCGTTATCACTGCCTGCAGCGTTGGTCGTGCTGAGGATACGAGGCTCTTTGACACAGCCAAACTCTGCGTGGTGATCGTGTTTATCGATTCGCTTGTTCTGTTAAGTTTTACGTAGCGTTATTATTACTATTATTATTATTATTATTATTATTATTATTATTATTATTATTATTATTATTATTATTATTATTATTATTATTATACCGATGCTCGACTTGCGTTATAACTGTAACTCGATGCGTGTGTGATAATATACATATACGAGAATTCGGCGATGAGCAGCGTTGCGTAATCGCGATCCTCGGCGACAGTCTCCTTTCTTTTTCTTCGTGCGAACGCGGGCCGGACTGCTCGGTCGCCGCGGAGGAGCTGTAGGATGTAAGCCGTTCTGCGTTGTCATTTTAATATTATATTGTTAACACATCGCTGTTAACTGTTCGAGCGCATAATTTGAATTTCGTCATTGAGCGTTTTCCGTCGTGCCGTCCCTACGCGCACCGCAATTTTTTGTTTTTCTTTCGCATCGAACGACGCATACAAATCGATTATTCGCCCGCTTTGTGAGAGGTGTCCTGGATCGGCGTGTGTCGCTGATTATTCGAAGCTTCGAGATCGTCGTTGGTGAAAATCTCAAGGGTGTATGATTAGATCGCCTGATAGTGCGCGACTCGGGCGATCCGCTATGCGATATTTATCTCTGAAATTCGAGAAATCATCGGTCGAGGAGATTCCTGGAGAAAGCTCGACTCACGAAAAATGATGATAAAGCCCTCTGATGAAGTAGTACCAGAATGCGGTGCACTGTAATTATTTATGAATGAAGAATGTATTGTGTTAATTATTGCATTTTTATTTCCACAAAAATTTTATGTGCATTGAATTATAATTGCCGTAGATCTTCCTTGCTGCAAAATCCCTGTAGATTATCTTTCTCGCTGCAAATTTGTAAAACTCTGTCAGCCTTGTAAAATTTTTCTCGAACGTTCTCTGTGGTACACGCTATAAATCATGTATTTTATTTTTTTATTAGAAAAAAAAGAGACACGTCCCGTTTTTATATCAAGAAATCTTTTTTCTTTATTAGATCACATTCATCTTGGTTTCGAATTATTCAAATTGTCATTCATCCCGTTGATTAAATTAATACGAGCTCACAGGCAATATATAATAATCGCGCCATGGAATAAAAAATATTACGAAGGAAAGCGGCAAAGTTTCTTTTACGACGATTCGTTCATTATCGTTCATCACAGATCAATCTCGAATCATCATCTTGGCAATGATTATGGTCAACTATCCCGCATAACGGATCTTCGCCATGTCATGCATGTGTCGTAGATCATAAGACATCCCGAAGATGTCATCGACGAGATATTCGGCCGTCTCGGAACATTTTACCATAGCTGTGTTCCAAAATTCACTGCCAGTACTAAAATCTATAAATCTGTTTTTTATCGTTGCATTAAAATTTTCTTTTCGCTAAGCTTCAAATATTTTCTTTTCTTCTCATTTTTATTGGCCGTGATTCTAACTGGATCAAAACCGATCAATAAATGACGTATACTAATACAAAATCAAGGATTTAAACAAAATCAATATTAGAAAGTAAAAGTGGAAATGCGATAACGCAATTATTTAGGACGTTCGTTTCATACAATAATTCGGAAACAGTTCCTTCTGTATATATCTATTTCATTTTAAGACTCTTGTTCACTTATCGCTACTATCTCAAATTATGATATCAGAAACGAGAAAAAACACATAAAAATTCAAACATATATTGAAATGGCTATTTAATATATTTTAATAAAGCAAAACTTATAATCGATAAAAGCAATTTATAAAATATATCGAAACTTTTGTTTTATTAATTAATAAATAATTATATATCTGAAAACTAATTATACATGACAAAAAACGAAATGATATATAGAAATAAATATGACTTAATTTCATCCCCTGAAACAAAAAGATAGTTTTATATGTATATTTCATAAATCTATTCTATTAATCGCAAATGCAATTTCATTGAGAACTATTTCTATTTAAATATATTTTTGCAAGAATTTTTATTGTCTATTTTCTCGTTTCTGATGCCACATTGAGATAGTAATGAATAGGAGCCTTAAGTATAACGAATATACATCTGTGCAGTACAGATCTACATTGCAACAACATTGCTGCAATATTACAATATTTGCAACAACATTGCAGGAATTTTAATGCAATATAATTGCAAAGAACTTCTTTACGATCCCCGATAGAGTTCCAATTCTCTAAGGTAGATTCAAAGTAGTCACAGTTTCAGTGAAAAGGGGAGAATTCCTGTTATTCTTATGTTTTATATATATAAAAGATTACAAAGAGCCCCAGCAAACACGAATTTATTATTACTATGCAATAAATAAATGTTAGTTATAATTTTCCACTCGATGTAACTGTTGTATAACAATTACGCGTGTATTTTATAATAGTTACATTATTGAGTGGAAAATTACAACTAAGATTTATATTACATGTAACTTAGCTTTGTTTGCCGGGCTTTATGATATGTATATATAACATGAATACGTTATCAATATTGGCAGTGAATTTTGGCACATTGCGATTCTTTCTGCGCAGAAAATATACACGCACATGCATGCTTACGTGAGATCGAGAGACCTAAGAAAGCCGGATTCAAATTAAAAAAGCAGCTTCGCCTCGACTCGAATCAAGCTGCTCGTTCGTGATCATTCGCGCTCGGCCCGCGGAACCGACAGGACGAGAGGAGAATAGAATAGTGAAAACGCAAAGAGAAGTTTCATCGAGATTTTTTCATGCCGATAATTCTGAACAATAAACCACCGCTGCGACGAAATTACATTGTATTGTTATTGTAATTGCCAAGTTGACATAATAAAGCATGGCTACAAGTCGCCGACCGTTATTGCTACCTGTATTTTCCTTTGCGAGATTCAGTTTCTCCTCTTCATTCTTTCAGCGTGAAAATTGCACTGAACATTTAGTGGGGCTTGGCAATTGCAATAGCGATTTTTATTACTATTCGCTTGACAATTCATTCGAGATCCATCAGGAAATATTGCGAAAATCTGAGAAAATAAACGTCTGTTTTTTTTCTGTTCTGTTTTTTTTTTATTTACTACCACATTTTTATCAAAGAGCATAAATATTTATTATATAAGTGACAATTGATTTTGTCATTCGCATAATCGATAATTTCCAAGAGATTTCAGTCAAGAACGGCATTTTGTATTATAAACATTTTATTAAACTGTTCGATATATAATTTTGTGCCATAATGTCATATACATTGTAATAGAAGCTCACCTACGAATAATATATACGATACAAATGATAAATATTACCGCATACACGAAAAACTGCAGAGGAATCTCTTAGTTCCAATTCACGCCATCTCTTCGAAGAATCAGATAAGGCGATTCGATCTAAAAATTTATATGTCCCTGTGAAAAAGTTATTAATCGAAATTCAAGATCTTTCGAATCACTTTTTTCTCAAAGAGAGAACACATATATTATAAAATTTAATCAATTTCTTGCATTTTTTACAAGTGATCATTCTTTAGTAAATTGAATACGTTGAATATGAATATGTGACATTAAAAACTATCATGTCAACTTCCCATTAAATAATTATAAGTTTTCACAAAATAAAAACAATGTTTTTGGTCATTTTTGATATGAATTTATAACGCATAAATCAAACATTTCAGTATTTTTAAAAAGAAATTGAAATTGAGAGAAAGAGAGAGAGAGAGAGAATCTTTGCTTTTATATATTTTAAAAAGTCGGAAACATAAAATATAACTTTGTAGAAAATTTTTAGAAAGACTAAGCATTATCATAAATTCATAATTAATAAAATACCAAATCTATATCGCACATACAACAATTTTTAAATAAAAATAAATTCTTGAAAGAAAGCTGCAAGTATAAGTACTTGTAGCTTTGCGGAAAAAGATCAGCTGCATTTATTATTTTATTTATTTTTTATCTACATTATTTTTGCAATTTTAAAAGGTATATGTATTTAAAATCCTCAAAGTAATATGATAATACAACATGGTATATAATATAAATGAATGAGAAATTTTTTTCTACAATTTTTATTTCCTAAACCTATTCCTAATAAGAATTTAACCAAAAATTTACGTCGGTTTCTTACATTGAATTGTTTGTTATTTTTTGAAATTGTTGACACGTCTAGTGTCAACAATTCATCTGGACTTCATCTGTTATAATTTATGCCAAAATCGTGTTTTTTTTAGGATTTAAATCTCTATTTGTATTATCTGACATGACAGTTTTTGAGATCATATTCATATTTAATGTATTTGTTTTATTAAAAAAAAATCTTCCATGACAAAAATACAAAATCTTTTATAGATGATCTCGGAGAGAAGTTCTTCGCTATGGATAATTTGGGCTATTAAAGCTCGTTAATTTCGCGGAAAACGAGAAAAAAAACGGTATCACATGTGATAAAAATAGATTCATTGATGACCGGCTGCATCGAGCTTGGCTTAATCGAGCCTTCGTCTCTTCCTTTTCATCGGAACGGTAACTAAACATATCTATGGTCCGATCTCACATCTTGAATTTTTATTAAAGAATTTTATTAGCATTATTATTATTAAAGAATTTTATATTTTATTCAGCTAATAGGAAATGATCGTATAGCATTCCAAGATCTAAAATAAGATCGGATCATAAACGCTGTTGATATAATCGTGATATTGATGAAACCGGTCATCGTAGAAACTGACATATTTTGCAAAAGCGCGACGAATGATATCGAGCCGAAAATCGTGGAAAGTTTTTTCTCTTATTGTAACTTATCACATTTGTATATGGCATATTGTGTTTCAATGTATAAAAATATAAAGAACCTCGGCCCAGCGACTCTTCCTTTTGTCGATCATACGCCGCGAATTTACACATGATGATTCATCTCTCCCTTCGAAGTTTATTTAGACGGAACGATATCTCGGAGCGAAGTCATATAAGGCTAACTGATATACGCAATCATTTGTTGAATTACTATTTAATTACAGTTTAATTGAATTACAATGTTGGCAATTTTCAATTACATATTTGATTGTCGATACGCGGGTGACAAATTCGATTGTATTCACGCCGCTGTTTCTCATAGATTAATATCTGTACGGTATTGTTAAATGGATGTTTTGTGCAACGTTTTACGATCGCTATTGAGGATGTTATATTTTTTTTTTTTTTTTCTAAATATCTCGCTCCGTCTAAATGATTCTTAATGCGCTAAACTAAATACTCTTGGAGTAATCTAAGTATCTGTGCTAAGTAAACGGCGCCACATGCGAATAGATTATCCGCTTAATAAACTCACTCGTTTGTAGCGAGTTCGCAAAACTACGTTATGAAGGAATGCTCGATCTATCACAAAGATCTACTTTTGATCCTCCGCAGAATACAAAGCTTTAGCGATACAATTGTATCGCTTTAAGCATTTACACTATGTTTGTACATTTGTTATGTCATTCAATTTGCTAAATTTGTAATCATTTAATTTGCTAAATTCGAGATCGTCCATACGTTAACTGTTTCACCTTTTCTCGAGATCCTATTGTTATGCCACTCGAGTTAAATTGCGGCGAATCGCTGGAGTGACAGTATCGTTTAGAAAAGCGGAGAATCCTTATCGCGAATTACAATCAATTTTGCGAATAATCTACGCAATATCAGATCGGCATCATAATACTGTAACAATAATCCTCGCGCGAAATTCTCGTAGATAAAGAAAACTGGAGGCACTATGCTTGGACGTTCTCGCGCGTGCATGATTCTTTGCAAAACGCAAGACAGTTTCACGTTTTTCCCTACGCGATGTATTATATTTCTCTCTTTTTCTCTATTATCTTTTTTTATATAATAACACTACATGTAGAAATCTTGACGTCCTTTATCAACTTTAATTCGAGAAGCGGAACATTGGAGAAATATTTTTCATTTGCATTTACTTTTATCATATATGATCATTTATGATGGTGATACGCATGTCACACGTGATTTTTTAGAATCATTTAGAACTACTTACAACAAGTGAGCATAAATGAAAGCAACGAGGTATAAAATCATATCTGAAACTACAATTTCAGCTTCACACTTCATTCTTCATATATCATCCTTCTATCAAGCTATATATTCTTCCGAATGTTCCCGAATGTTGATTATTCCGCCAAATACAATTCACGTCGAACAAATAGATTTTATTAATTCTATTATTAGTATCAAAGTGAGTCGCATTTTACATGGCTAAGTTTATCTTGGATTTATCTTGCGATTCAAACACATTAGAAAATTTATCGCATAAGAAAAAAGCTAGTTACATAAGTTGAATATTTCAGTTTAATACTTCAGTCACTTTTTCAAAGATAAGTGAAATTCTGCGTTCATATATAATGCGCAGATCACGGTAAAAAGAGAATAAACTAAGAAAAAAATAAGAGAAAAGAGAAAAATAAGAAAGAGAGCTTAAACGGTCTGCACGGTTTTCGGATTGAGCGGCTCCGTCACCGGCGATTTTGTCTTTTGCTGAGCAGCCCTTCTTCTGGCCCGCCGTTTTTTGTCCTTTGCCTCCGCTCCCAAGGCCAAAAAATTGTTATGGAAGTACTCCTCGATCTCTGACAGCTTCTTTCCATGCGTCTCTGGTAACATCAGCCACACGAAAATAGCCGCCCCTACAGAAACGCCAGCGAAGAACCACTGGACCGCATATGAACCTTAAACGAGAATTTTGTTAGTCAAGCTAAAACCAAAATAGTTTTAATTTTTATTGAAATAATGACTAATTGTAAAAGCATTCATATATTGGATAAGCAAATTAATAAAAGTGGAATAAAAAATAAAAATATAAAGATAATTTGTGTAAAGAAGAGATGTTCTGGATAAATTGTTACTTAGTTAATCATTAAAAACTCACATCGGATTACATTAATTCAAATTTTCAATTTTATATTTTGAAATGTTTTATTGCTAAAGTTTTTGATTATGATAAAAGAGAATTTGTCTATGATATATTGTCTCTGATTTAAAATATATTTACTTAGTAGTTGATTAATCCTACCAAGACTCGATTGCACAAACGTTATTTTATCTTTAAGTGAGACTTAAATATGTGCTTATCTTTATTTATTTAAAAAAAGATAAAGACAGATACATGTTTAAGTCTTGCTTAAAACCAAAATAACGTTGGTGCAACCGGGTCTAAAGCCTAAAAATTTTTAAAATTTCAAATTTAGGTCATGTTGATCCAAAGTGAGTACGAGAATAAAATTCAGAGGAAGTTCTTGAAAGTTAAAATTATATTATAACATAAAAATTATATGCGTATGCGATTTTGAACATTATACCTCCCAGGAAAGCTTGTAAGCTTCTATAAGTCTGCAATGCAGCAAACATCAGCAGATTTGCCATGGAATAACTGATGGAATGGGCAATTCCGCGGATCTCGGTCGGAAACAATTCTGCCGTCATGGTCCATGGAATAGTCAACATTCCAACCATAGATGTGCATACGTAAAGTAACAGACAGGCCACCGGTACCTGACAAACATTATATTATTATTGTCGCATTATTTCACATGTCGTAATTATATTTAACGAAATAATCTTTACCCAGAATCCGCTACGATCACCATTTTTGATGTTTAGAGTGAAGTAACCAGAGACGATCATGGATATAGCCATCCCAAAAGACGATATTATACACAACGTTCGTCTTTTGTATCGTCTCAGTAGCCAAGTGTTCACCATGGAGCACAAGAAACGTGTCAAACCTACCAAAATCGACGCTATGTATTCGTCTACACCTGCGCCCACCTCCTAAAAAACGGGAAAAAGAGAAAAGAGTTCAATACTAGTTTTACTAATCAGCAGTACTAGCAGTGCTAACTCTACTATGAATTTATATAGCTCGATCATCAATAGAATTGAATATTACGATGCATGCATAAATCACTATCGATTAAATAGAATTTTATAAAATACATTAGAAATGAGTATGTAAATCTACTAGATACGAAGAAATTTTTTTCTTTTTTTTTTTAAAGAACAAATCACAGAGAGAGCACTATTTAATGGATTCTTTTTTTTTACTTCTTTTTGATTATTTAGTTTAATTACTTGGAACCAAGTCACTGCGTAGAACAACGTGATATAAATCCCGGAAAACTGCTGAAATGAAAAAAGTAGGAAAAGTATCGCCATGGGTTTCCATCCGGTCGGTTTGAGGAATCCTCGCCATTTATTGGACGCGCTGCTATGTTTGCTCCGCCGTTGTTCATTCAATTTAATTTCATTCTCTTTCATAATAGTGGTAAATTGCGTCTCGGCTACTGATGTTTTACTTTGTGACGTCTCGTTTTTGTAAAGCCTACAAATATTGAGAGTTATTAATTATTTACACATGTTAACAGAAAGATAAGAAAAAAATCATTAAGCTTTAGAAAATTTTACAAGCTCATTTCAAAGATTCATTTCTTCAACCTTTAATAGCTTTTAGCTGATAATTATTTTTTGAAAAAGAAAAAAAACAGTTAGTCATGTCTTTCTATTTTATTATTTAAAGCCTATAAAAATTTCATTGTTTGTACAGCCCCTGGCCATCGAATTAGGACAACATGCAAAAATTTCATTTTTCTAATTATAACGCTATGTCATAAACGATAAACTGTTCTTGACTGCTTGACTGTATTATTACTAAATACGTAAACGACTGTATATACATAGACTATATATACAAGATTTATTATTATTGTGAAAATAACAGAAAGTTCCCATAGATGACGAGCGATTGAGAATCAACCGCGTTTTTTAGAGTATCGATAGCTGCTCAGAGCAAAGAGTGAGAATGCATGATTTGGCTACAACTTTCTGTAGCAAGAATGCCTATGTAATTGCTCTTCGCTCTGACTCGTTATCGATATTCTAACATAAAAATGCGATCGGTCGAGCTGAATCGCTTGTCATCCACAGGAATTTATTTTCACAATACTAATAAATCAATTACCATGTATACATAGTCGTTTATGTATTTAGTAAGGATTTAAGTAGCCACGGATGTCAATTTGCCGTTCGTGACATAGCGTTATAGTTAGAAAGATGAAATTTTTGCACTCAGTCCCAATTCCAAGATAGCCCAGGGGCTGCAATTAAATTAAACTTTTACCATTCCAAAGATTTCTTGGCATCGTCGATACGGCCCTTCGAGACGAGCCAGACGGGCGATTCCGGCACGAAGAACTGTATGAGGATGATGGGTACGATCGAGTAGACGATGCTGATCCAGGCGACCGTTCGCCACGGCAGATAAGCGCCCTTCAGATAGGACAGCACCATGCCGAACGATGCCAGCGTCGGTCCGAATGAGATCATAGAGCCGCGCAGTTCCGGCCTGGCCACTTCGGTGATGTAGACGATCGCTGGCGAGGTCGCCAGGGCGGTCGCCAGTCCGGTTAACAAACGGCCAACCAGCAACATCGGTATATTGACCGAGAGGGCGATGAGGATCCACCCGACCACGGAGGGGAACGCCCCGATCTGCAGAGTTCTCAATCGGCCGAATGTCTCCATCAGGAAGCCACCCAACAGGGCGCCAATCGGTGTACTCACGACGACCAAACTGGCTGAAAATCGAATCGAAATATCTAATTTGCGCTCTTTCTACACGGAAAAAACAATTTTGCCAGATAGAGATCTATAGAAAAATTAATTTGTTTGGTCAAAATTTGTTTGTTTGGTGAAAATGATTATGTAAGACGTTCAAATTAAATTGTTAGGATATAAAAAGATTTTGCAATATTGTCATCACGTTTAAATGTCCTACATAATAATTTTGATTGCCCAACCAAATTATTTTTCAGATTTGTAGATCCTACAGCAAAATTGCTTATTCCTCAGTTCTTATTGTGTGTATATATATATATGTTTTAATTTATATTTTGGGAATAAGTTAAGGGAATACTTTCTACTAATCAACTTTGATTTTTTTTTACATCTGTTTGAACGATTGATAACGATTGAAGGTTCAATTAGAATTACTACAATTACTATTAGTATCATATTTTATTATTATAATTTCTAGATTGAAAATTTGTTTTACGCCAAGAAAATGACTTTTTGCTACGAGAAGATTACTCTCGGCAATGAACATAGATTGGATTGCGTAACGCGAATTTAATCAGAGCGCGAAGATCGAACGGCGTCGTCTCTCGTGCAACAAGCACGCACGACGTGCACATGTGGTTCTCTTCAGATAATTACAACTTTTACGTAATACGTTCACTCTTATAACAACACTTTAGCGAAGATACCAAACTGTCAATGATATCAATAATGACCGTGCAAAATATGACGCGATATTTACAATACATATTTGACGAAAAACGTACCTAAGTTATAGAATAATAAATGAAATATCACGTGTTCGTTTCGATTATTATATATTTTTAAGTGCATTACGGGTTCGGAACAGTATGTTCGAGTTATCATAATTAATATGGCTTAATCTCCTTGACAGAATAGCGCACTTTGCGCTTGCACTGTTATCGCCTTCGTTATTACCGTGCATGTACGCTACATATTTGTGCGCACTCACCTATCCAGGAAGTCTGTCCTTGCGTGGCATGCAGCTCCGCGTCTTCTTTCTCGAGATGAGGTATAAGAGTCGCCGAGTATGCCATGGTGAGGCCCACCGCTATGTGGAAAGATGCCGCAACGATGCATGCCGCGATCTGTGAATGTCCAAAGACGACGTGTACAGCTTCCGTGAGAACAAACGCTTGAATTTCGCCTTGACTCTATTCCCATTTCTCGAGCGAACAAACGAATCTTTTTTTTCTCTTTGAACATCTTTTCGAACGATTTTTTTTTTAAGTATCAAAAAATTATGCCCGAGAGATTTTAACGGCTGCTCTAATTATTAATTAAAATACTTAATTAAGTTGCAATCATTGAAATTTAATTTGAAAATTA